GCAGGATGTATCGCTAAGAGTAAAAAAAGGAAAAGAAACAATAGCAGGGCGGGAAAGGTTGGACGCGAGAGCTAGTAACGACAGAACGAGAAGTAGTACGGAAAGAACGCGGCAAGGGAACGTTGAAGGGAGAAGGACGGATAGCGTGGGTGGCGAGGGTGAAACGGGCCGTTGCTCGAGGGTGACAAAGGGTGGTCGTCAGAGACGAAGAGCGGGGGTTCATAGGGAAGGCAGGTTTTGCCGGTCGATGTTGCTGTGGCTCGTGTTTTCGCGAATACCCTGTGCTCGTACGCAAATGAAGACATGGAAATTGTTAGATACGATCGATGAATAGAATTTCCAAGTCCGATACGAACCGTGGAAAATTGTTAGCTATGGTCGCTCAAATGGTGCGTTCTAAATACCTTAAGTAATAATATTCACCAACCAAAAGTGTAACGATAACATATATTATTTCGATCATACTGACAGAACATCTGTTATGCGATTAATTAACGAAGTACTCTCGTTACATCGGATAAATGGAACGTCTAACGATAAGCGATCATTACAATCGAGATAAATGAAGAATCTCTGGATCGATCGAATTAATTAATTAGTATTTGTGTGTGCAGTTAACGCTCGAAAGATGAAAAATCTCGTTCCGAGAAGATGCGTTTCTTAGCTCGCATTCGTGTCGGGATCTCATGCCCTGTGCATTCCACGAGCCACGCTACAGAGTGGCGGGAATGAATACTCCTTTCGCAACGCTGCCGGTACATTAGTCTAATTGAAATCCGGATGGCGTGGCGCGCGTGACCGTACACCATCTCGAACTGTCACGCTTTCAAATAGGTATAGGCGTGTCAAACATGTACTAGCGTTGCTCACTTTCTGCAAAACCTCTTTTCACTCTAATTACGTGAATTTTCAAATATCAGCACGCGTTAAAGCATGACTCATTAGATCTATATTTTGAATCGAAGTTTGCTTGGAACGACTGCGCATGCGCGGAACTAAGCGCGCATCGCATTGCATGTAGCATACAATTATTATAAAAAATAATAATTAAGCACCTAAACATGATTGATTTAAAAAATAGATTAACGATTGCGATACTAATAAGCTAAAAATTGATTAATGTATACAGACTATACCGTAAATAATAAACAATAAAGATTAAATTGTTACTTCATATCGAATAACTCTTCCGAAGCTTCATCTGCGCATGCGCAGAACTAAGCACGCATCGTATTGTACGTAGCATATAATTATTATAAGAAATAATAATTGTATAACATCTGAACATGCTTAATTTAAAGACTAGATTGTCTATTACAACTTTAAAAATCAAGAAATTGATTAATGTATACAAACTATACTGTAAATAATAAATAATAAAGATTAAACTTGTATTTCATATTGAATAGCTCTTCCGAAGCTCCGTCGCGCATGCGCAGAACTAAGCGCGCATCGTATTGTACGTAGCATATAATTATTATAAGAAATAATAATTGTATAACACCTAAAAATGCTTAATTTAAGAATTAGATTGACAATTGCGATCCTAATAATCTAAAAATTGATTAATGTATAGAGACTGTACCGCAAATAATAAATAATAAAGATTAAATTGTTATTTCATACTGAATAGCTCTTTCGAAGCTCCGTCGCGCATGCGCAGAACTAAGCGCGCATCGTATTGCACGTAGCATATAAATATTATGAAAAATAATAATTGTACAGCATCTGAACATGATTATTTTAAAGACTAGATTAACGATTGCGATCCTAATAATCGATTAGTATATAGAGACTGTACCGCAAATAATAAATAATAAAGATTAAATTGTTATTTCATACTGAATAGCTCTTCCGAAGTTCCATCCGCGCATGCGCGGGACAAAGCGCGCATCGCTGGTTGCGTACAAAACGCATTGTTACTCGTACGATAATAAATTACAATCGCGTAACGGTGAAGTGCAAATGAAGCGATGACCTTGACAATCGAGATAAGAACGATCGCCAAAAAGCGAGTAAAACCGTTGAAACAGTTCGTGAAATGCAAAAACAGTCACGTCAGCGTGAACGAGCGTACTTTCTAAATGTATGCGGGCAACGTGCGGCGCGCATGCGCCGAGAAAGTAAAATGAGATACTTTCTCTACGTGGCTGCAATTCTTATGGGATTCCCCTCGTACACAAGAGGAGGAAACGCGTGGCCTAACTGGTCGAGGGAAACCGTTTAAAAACGGTGCGTGCGCGTGTACGTATGTACGAGCGGGCTTCGTGTCGTTTATTAACGGAAAATTAAAGCCCCATGTACGCAGGGGGGAGAACAGTGTTTCTTCGCCGTCATAAATGGACCGCGACTAAAAATAACCAGGTGCTTTTATGACGCGACTGTTACAACGACCCGAGACATCTTCCGAGCGCAAGGCGCGTTCATTTTCATAATCCAGGACTTTAACGTGAACGTGATGGCCCATTTAAAACTATCATTATTCAATGGCTTCTCTGAAGACAACGATCGAATGACTATGCTCTCGTTGACCATCGTATAAACCACATCAACTATCATTCCACTTAGCACAGAATTTAGCACAATTCTGAAACTATGAGACTTTCAGTTAAAATGATAAACGAGAGTAGAAATGAAAATAAAGTACAAAGTTTGTTAATTAAATTTATGTATCAGAATGATTATCAGCTCGTTATAAATGAATTATGATAGAGTTTAATAAATTGCAAAGAGGTAATTATAAATTAAAGAGCAGCATATTAGATCATTGATAAAGTTAGATAAAACTGTGCATCGAGAAAAGTGGATGAAATCTCGGACAAGAGCGAGTACGATTCATTCTCTCCTCCTCCATTTCGTTCTCCATTTAGTCTTTTTCTCGGCCTTGATCGCTTCGCCAAGGAGCAAGGACCGTAGAGAAAAAGGAAACGGGTATATATACCCGGGAGAAGCAGGGATAGTGAATCTCTCTTACTTCCCTTGTTCATTGTAAATACACACGTGAGCGTGTACACAAATTTCCATCGCGATTGTATATATATGTACGTGTGTATGTGTTCGGGGAATGACTCGAAACGGTTGCACGTTCGTATCGTTCCCAATCGTTCTCTTCGATTGCAAAGTACTTTCGCAAGTAGCAACAGCTTTAGAGCTCCTCGAAAAATATCGACTAAAGCGTTAAATTTCGTTTGGGGAGATTTCCTTCGTATTCGAAACCTCAAGATTGCTGCACAAACATTTTAGTTTCGTTTGAAATAAATAGCAGAATATATTGCAATTATTATTAGCATAGTGATATAAGTATATTAGTTATAAATGTGATAGTATAAGGTAAAGTAATGTAATACAATAAAAATATTAGTGGAGGAAGGCAAGAGATAATACTAGTCATCAATAATTAGTGTAGTAGTAATTATGGTAATTAGTATATTAATTTTTGTTGGGACCAAGGTTCCTACTTTCTAAGGACCCTACTTCCCAAGGTCCCCAATCTCAAGGGTTGACGATCTCAAGGTTCCTATCTTTCAAGGTCCCAATCACTCAAGGTCCCAATCTCTCAAGGACCCAATCTCTCAAGGTTCCAATCTCTCAAGGTTCCAATATCCCAAGGTCCCAATCTTTCAAGTTCCCAATCTCTCAAGGTTCCAATCTCCCAAAGTCCCAATCCCTCAAGCTCCCAATCTCTCAAGGACCCAATCCCTCAAGCTTCCAATCTCCCAAAGTTCCAATCTCTCAAGGTCCTAATCCCTCAAGGCTCCAATCTCTCAAGGTTCCACCATCCCAAAGTCCCAAATCTCTACAGGTCCAACATTCCAAGCTTAAACATCTCAAGATCCCAAGAAACGAAAGTCCCAAAATTCGACTCCCAAAACCCTACAGTGCCAACCTCCCAAATCCCAAAACCTCAAGTTTCCAGAACCTCCAAAATGGTACCTAAGAACCTTAAAACCCTTCAGTCCGCCTATCAGACCGCCTATCTATCAGAACGCCTACTACACTTGACAACAACCTTGAAGATCCAAAGAGTCTACGAGCCGAGTAATCGAAGGAAACGAACGATTAGTCAGATAACCGGCATCACGATCTCCGAACGACAAAGTATGAAGAATGGAAATGGCTCGCGGCGAACGCGATGATGCATCGAGAAGATGGGAAATCGTTAACCTTGCCTGGCCATGTCAACGGGCCATGGAATTCGTATGCGTCATACGGTATGCAGGCTATCCGAAGCGACGCTTTAAAGAGGCACGAGAATTACAATGCATTGCCACACGCCCATCTCTCTTTGGACTCGGTAACAATACATGCCTCTTAGCTGCCGAAGATGCATGTATAATGGACCCCCAGCATCGGACCGGTTAAATGATCGGAGTCGTCGATTAAGCTAGAGTATCGATGCGCTTAATGGGAATTGTATCTACTCTCGATAGAATGGATTTACGCGGGCTGGAACTAATTTAACGATCGATTCTGCTGTTTTTAGTCTTTTTGAATTGGCATCGATTGCGAGCTATTTATCTCTATAGAGTTTGATTGCGAATGAGGGTGATTTATTTCCACTTGAATGATGAGTGAGTTATGAAGGCTTGGGAGATTCTGAGGGCATTTTGGGAAGCTAGGAAGGTTCAGATTTTAGACAAATTTTAATCTGAAGAAATAAGGGCAACCTAGGTTCTGTGAAGAATAAGGAGGAAGCCGCTAAGGCGTAGTCCCGCATCTGGACCAGGGAACCCCAACCTGATGGTGAAGTTTCAGCCAAAAAAAGGAAAAAGGTTCTGAGAAGAACCTACAGAAAATCTAAGGAGCGCTTGAGAAGAGGATACATTATAAAATGCATCGACTTCAAAAGCAATTACTATTTCGTCGAAATTTCATAATTTAAAATAGACCATGTTCATAAGAGAGACGCGTTAAGGTCCAAATGAGAGGACACAAGAGGTGTCCTCGGCCTAACTCGGCCCACGTTGTCGAAAGTGGTTGTAACGTAAACAGAGACTCACCTTCCGTCGGCTTCTTGATGGTGGTAAAACCGGTGGTTGGTCGCCGCCATCCCCTCCAGTTATTGCACAACGATTCCGGCTCGCTGCTCCAGCTGCATAAAGAATCCTCCTCGAAGCGATCCGAGTCCTCGAAGGAGTAACGATCGGTCTCCTCCCACTCGATTATCTGTGGACCGTTCTGACCGGCGACATTTCCCACGGCCACTCTAGCTTCGCCGCCACCGGAACCACCGCCGC